GGATATTATTATTAATTATTTGCTTGAGCCTAGCGCTATTTTTTGCGTATTCATGTAGACGCAAGTGGCAAGCGCCACTTTCTCGTTGCGTAAAATCGCGGTGCGGATGAATCGCGCACGACGACCTTTAAAATCCGGCTGCGCTCGGCTCCCTCGCGTCTGTAATTATGATCGGGAGATTCGGCCGGCTATCGCGATACCGCGACGACTTTATCCGAGCGAACGGACGCTACCAGGTACACTCGGGGTGCTATTCGGCCGCAATCGCTCCATCGTCCTCGGGACCCTTCGCGGTCACGCCGACGTTCGCCAGAACGCCGGGAATGCGCGAGGTGGAGGCGCTCGAACAGCTGACCGCCCGTCGTCGGCCATATTGTCCGGACGCGCTCCTCGTTCGGCAGATCGGCGAGTGCAGATAAAATTGCAGGGTCGACAGAAATATCGTCGAGAGATAACCGGCGGTTCGCGCGAGAGAGTTATGTCAGCGCGTCAGCGCGGGACAAAGACACGACGGCGAGCCGAAAAAGGGCTGGCGCGAGCGAGGGGGAAGAAAGAGTCGCTTTCGCGCGACGACGAAAGCGGCGGGGGAGGAGGGGGATGGCAAAAAGTCCCGTGAAATCCCGTAAAAACCCGAGTCCGCGGCAACGAGAGGGGAGGAGGGAGGGGAAGCGGGGCAAACAGTGACGGAGGGACGGAAGGAGCGATAAATATCGCGCGCTCGGCATGGGAGTTTTTATTGCGTCGGGAGTGCGAAGTGCTCTCTGTCTGCTCATTTTTCGCCGTCTTCAGCCCCGCGGCTGTCGCTCTCGTTATTGCAAACGGGACGTGCCACTCGACCGTCGTCGTGAATCGTCGATCCGTCAACGATAACGTTCCGGTGACCCGATTATCGGTAATCGTTACGCGCGACGATAACAATTGCGTATCAGAACCCGGACGTAAATAGAGAAGCGACATTGGGTTCAACTACGCGAATCACACCAAAATATTGGTTGAATTAGTGACTCGAACGCGCGTTGGTTAGAGGAAACAGAACTTCCGCTTCCTATGAAGGCAAATTGCGATCTCAAGAGCAGGAAATTCGATTTCCTTTATTCAAAACGCATTCGATTCGCTCATCGTCGTGCTAATTCAACTAATCCTTTACTTCCGTGTCGAGTCGCCATCTTCCGTGCACGGTGATACTCGAAGCGACGAGTAAGGAAGGAAGCTTAGCTTACGAGAGGTTAGCCTCAATTAGTAATTAATCATCGATTTGAATCTAATCGATGATCGACTCAGCGGAATTCCATTGATTGATTCAGTAAAATCATTGCTCGATCCCGTCGAGTTAGTCGTCGATTAGATATAAATCATAATAGTTGAAACGGACGTTTATCCAGTCGCTAGAAAAAATGACATCAATGAAACCAATCATTTTAACGTTTTCGCTTCTCTATGCAGAAAGGAAAAAAATTGTTAGATTCAAGATAAATAATTGCCCCGATACTCCTTGGCGAATTGCTATTTGATCCGAGTAAAATACTTTCCAAGTGAAATATTCACCCGATCCGAGTGAAATTTATCGAATCCAAATTTGCTAAAGAGCAACGGAGTAAATTGGAAGTAATTCACTCGAATCTAGCTCTCTTCTTTCCTCCCGTGTATTTATATCCGAAACTATAACGCGGTGTATTCTGAATCGCGAGACAGAAGAGGGCGATATCATCGCTCCGCTTTTATCACAAAATAGTTACGAACAGATACAGGCGTAGTTCGCAACCACCGGAG